GTCACATAGATCGACCGACGAATCTATCGTACATAGATCGACCGGACAAATCTATCGTCACATAGATCGACCATTGACGATCTTATCGGTCACATAGAGTCGGCACCCACGACGATCTATCAAGTCACATCAGATCAACCCGCATCTATCGTCACATAGATCGACCTGACGATCTATCGTCACATAGATCGAGCACGGACGATCTAGTGGCACATGATCGACACGACGATCTATCCGTCAGCATAGACGACACGACGACTATCGCTCACATAGATCGACCGACGCCATCTAATTTGGTGACATATGATACGTAGGTCGTCTATGTGACGATAGATCGTTCAGGTCGATCTATTGTGACCAGCAACGAGCAATGTGTTGACGCGGCGCGACGCAGCCGGGTGCGGCCGCGCACACTCACCTGCGCGTTCTGATTTGGGCACCTGCAGCGCGAGCGCCATGCTGTCGGCGTTGAAGCTCTCGTCGAGCGCCGATTGAGCGCCCCGTGCACGCCCGACTCCCTGAGGTTGCCCGCAAACTCACGCAGCCCGATCGAGTTCACCCACTTGATGACTCGCTCGTTTGTCCACACCAGCACGTCTGCAACGAGCGAGAGAGAGAGACGATTCATCGTCAGAGAGAGAGAAAGAGGGGAGAGGGGGTGGAGAGAGGGGGAGGATAAGAAGAGAGAGAAGGGGGGCCGAGAGAGAGGAGGGGGGCCAGAGAGAGAGGGATGGAGCAGAGGAGGGATGGAGAGAGAGGGGCGGAGAGAGGGAGGGGGGAAGGAAAGAGGGATAGAAGAGAGAGGAGAGGAGAGGTGGAAGGAGAGGAGCGGGTGAGGGAGAGAGAGAGATAGGGAGGGATGGAGAATGAGAGATAGGGGGTGGGAGAGCAAGAGTGTGGAGAGAGGGGGGAGAGAGAGGGGAGGGCTGGAGAGAGGGGAGGGATGCCGAGAGAGGGAGAGGGAGTGGGGGAGAGAAGGGAGAGAGCGGATGGAGAGAGAGGAGGAATCGAAGAGAGAAAAGGTAGAAAGACAAGGGTGGAGAAAGGGTGAGAGAGAAAGAGGGGTGGAGGGAGAGAGAGAGAGAGGGAGAGATGGAGAGAGAAGCAGGGCGCCACCGGTCACTGGACCAAGAGCGAGGAGAGAGAGAGAGGGGAGAGATAGGGGGAGGAGAGCAGAGGAGAAGGAGGGGTGGCCAAGCGATGGAGCCAGGATGTTGGCGAAGAGGGGGGGGATAAGAGAGGGATGGAGAGAGAGGGAGGGTCCAGCCGGGGGGCGGAGGGTGGAAGAGAGAGGGAGGGATGGGAGAGGGGGGAGAGAGAGGGGAGATGGAGAGAGGGAGGGAATGGAGAGAGAGGGAGGGCGATGAGAGAGAAGCACGAGACAGGCAAGGATATATAGAGCAGGAATAAGAGACACGGAGAGAGGAGGGGGTATGCGAGAGAGAGCAGAGCGGAGTGATGGAAGACAAGATGAGGCCGCGGAGAGAGAGGGGGAGAGGAGGAGACGGAGGGGGAGAGAAAGAGGCGAGGGATTGGAGAGAGAGAGAGAGAGGGATGGGAGAGAGAGCTCGGGGAATCTGGGGGACGACGAGTAGAGCGGAGGGCATGAGAGCGGAGAGAGAGATGGGAGGGATGCGATGAGAGAGAAGAGAGAGTGATGGAGAGCTAGAGAGGGGGGGAGGAGGAAGAGAAGGGAGGGGCGACGAAAGAGAGAGAAGAGACGGAGATGAGGACGAGAGAGAGAGAGAGTGATGATGAGAGTGAGAGAGGAGAGAGAGACGAAGAGGAGAGCAGAGAGAGAGATAGAGAGAGAGAGAGAGAGAGAGATGGGAGAGAGAGGGAGAGAGGGGAGAGAGAGGGGACGAGAGAGGAAAGAGAGAGCGGGAGAGACGAGAAAGTATATTATATTATAATATATATATATATATATATATATAATATAGCAAGAGAGAGGAGAGAGAGCAGAGAGAAGACAGAACTCGAGAGAGAGAGAGACAGAGAGAGAGAACTGGGTCGCATTTGAGGGGATACTAAGAGGACGTGGAAGAGCAGGAATAGGCATAGCTTGAAGAGGAAGGAGAAGGAAGAACAGTAGAATGAGATAAACGAGGAGAAGATGGAGGAGGAGAAGAAGGGGTGCAGGGGGTAGAAGAGGAGGAGGAGGAGAAGAAGGGGGAGCAGGGGGTAGAAGAGGAGGAGAAGAAGAAGGGGGAGCAGGGAGTAGAAGAAGAGGAGGAGAAGAAGGGGGAGCGGGGGGTAGAAAAGGAGGAGGAGAAGAAGAAGGGAGAGCATGGGGTAGAGGAGGAGGAGGAGGAGGAGAAGAAGAAGGGGGAACGGGGGGTAGAAAAGGAGGAGGAGAAGAAGGAGGGGAGGAGGAGGGGGAGCAGGGAGTAGAAGAGATGGAGGAGGAGATGGAGGAGAAGAAGTAGGGGAGGAGGAGGGGGAGCAGGGGGTAGAAGAGGAGGAGAAGATGGAGGAGAAGAAGGGGGAGCAGGGGGTAGAAGAGAAGGAGGAGGAGGAGGAGGAGGAGGAGGAGGAGAAGAAGAAGGGGGAGCAGGGGGTAGAAAAAAAGGAGGAGATGGAGAAGAAGAAGGGGAAGCAGTGGGTAGAAAAGGAGGAGAAGGAGGAGATGTAGAAGAGGAGAAGGAGGAGATGGAGAAGAAGAGGAGGGGAGGAAGAGGGGAACATGGGGTAGAAGAGGAGAAGGAGAAGGAGGGGAGGAAGAGGGAAGCAGGGGGTAGAAAAGGAGGAGAAGGAGGAGATGGAGAAGAGGAGGAGGAGGAGATGGATAAGAGGAGGAGAGGAAGAGGGGAGCAGGGGGTAGAAGAGGAGGAGAAGGAGGGGAGGAAGGGAGCAGGGGGTAGAAGAGGAGGAGCAAGAGGAAGAGGATGATGAAGCCATGAGATTGTACGTACCCTTCATGTCGGCTGCGCTGTTCTCCCGCCTGCGCTCCAGCTCCTTCTTGTCATAGTTCAACCTCTTCAGGCAGTTGATACCATACTGTAGGCTTGTTCTGCGAATACACACACACGCAGGTGGCGCCACATTACAATAGTCTCAACGTTGAACTAGCAACCGACGAGTGATGATGCTGTTTGCAATAATCGATCGTTATATGCATAATTGCTATTTCACCTCATTAACATTCTCTATTGAAAATCTCTCCCAATCAAATCATTTCACATCCGTCAACTGCAGTGGATTTTCTCATAATTAAATTCCTTCATTCATATCCTTGCCAGTTAGCGAAGAATTCGTTTCGACATTCGCTCTAAGCGTTTTCGCATAGGTTTACTGCACCCACGAGCGCCCTGCCCACCTACTATCTACCTATTGTTTATTTGTTATTGTTATTGTTGTTTACCTGTGAAGACTGTCGACCATCTTCAGGTGTACGCGCAGGTCCTTCTTGCTGAGGTGGTCGAGCATGCGCGCGTCCACGAGGCACTCCATGAATGTGCTGCGATACTGAGGTAGTCCGAGGCTAGGCAGCCAGTCGTTACCGATCCACTCATGGTTCATGTCTCCATACGCCAGCGTCTGTGTGTGCGAGCGAGCGAGCGCGTTAATATCTCTCTCTCTCTCTCTCTCTCCTGGCTGCCTAGCCTCGGACTACCTCAGTATCGCAGCACATCGTTACCGATCCACTCATGGTTCATGTCTCCATACGCCAGCGTCTGTGTGTGTGAGCGAGCGAGGGAGAGAGAGAGAGAGAGTAGAGATATTAACGCGTGCGCTGCGATACTGAGGTAGTCCGAGGCTAGGCAGCCAGTCGTTACCGATCCACTCATGGTTCATGTCTCCATACGCCAGCGTCTGTGTGTGTGAGCGAGCGAGGGAGAGAGAGAGAGAGAGAGAGAGAGAGAGAGAGAGAGATAGCTAGATAGATAGAGATCCATGCTCATCGAGAGTGTATCTAACAGTAGAGGGCGCTCACCGTGCGTGTATCTAACAGTAGAGGGCGCTCACTGTGTGTGTATCTAACAGTAGAGGGCGCTCACCGTGCGTGTATCTAACAGTAGAGGGCGCTCACCGTGCGTGTATCTAACAGTAGAGGGCGCTCACCGTGCGTGTATCTAACAGTAGAGGGCGCTCACAGTGCGTGTATCTAAC